AACCAATGGTGCTAAAATCCGTAGTAGTTGTCATTAGCTGTAGTGTTTTTTCATTAGAAAAATGAACGTACTACAACTGGATGCAGTTCAGATCTTTTTCACCTTTTTAGGTGATAGGAAAAATATTTTTGGACTTGTTGGACAGGTGAAACAATAGCTTACATGAAAGTTTTGTAACGGTTTCAAAGTGCCTTCACTTGTAAATATGTATTTTATAATAAACGATTTAAAAGTCTTTTAACTTGTGTTGCTGTATTTCCTGTGGTCTTTCTGTGGTGATTCATTAAACAATGCATTCTGTCTGCATTTTCTGTAGTGTCAAAGACCTTCATCGTGTTTATGGTCCCTCAAATTTCTCTGGGGTTTTTTCAGTTTAAATTCATCATCTTCCGTGTGATCTGTCTGAAGTTTCCTCCTCAAGTTTCTGTACTGTTTGCACTTCAGTCAGATGCAGTTTCTGGGAGGAGAAGGCAACGCATGACACGAAGTAACAAACACCACCGCGGAGGAGGAACTCGGGCAGTGATGGGTGGCGTGCCCAGGGAGGGAGGTGCGACTCTGGTGCTGGTGAGCTGCTGGGCTCCGTGGGCTCTGCGTCCCCGCGTGGGAGCTGCCGCAGCCCTGGCTGCCTTCCTGCCCCTGTCCAAACCCAGCTGCGGGCAGGTTCAGGGTTGTGTTGTGCTGGTGGTGTTGCTACAGATAAGCATAAAGCTGGCGTGAACTCGGAGCTTTCTTTAATAGTTCTTGTACGTCTGCGGGGGGGCAGCAGGCCAACTTGCGCAGATGCAGTCGAAGGACTTCTTTGACACCAGAGCTTCTTGTTTTAAAAGACTGTTAAATGTAGTTACCAACCCAAGGGATGCTGAGAGGCAGAGCTGTGAAAACATGGCTGGCTTTTCTCTTTGTAAACTTTCTTTTGCAGATAAGGTGCCCAGTGAGGGGAAAGCATCACGGGCAGCTCCTTAATGCTGCTTGAAGTGGATTCGGAGCTTGCGTGTTTACTGCAGGGCAGTTTTCAGAGAGCCAGAGGAAGAAGTGTTTAATAACCTTTCCTTTAACACCTAGCACCAGGAGCACTGTAAATCTGCTAGAACTTCACATAGAAGCAGTATGTTAATACTAGGTTGCCACATTCCAAGTGTTGCAGTAAGATGTGGCCTCAAGAAAACTTGTGGTTAGAGTACAATGAAGCAGTATGTGGAATTGAAACTGATTTTTCTACTTACTTTCCTGTTAGGAAATACTCTTCTTATGTTGCCATCCTGTGACTCATAGAGGGTGTTTTTTGTTGTTTGATACCCGAGGAGCAGTGAAACTGGGGATGCAAAAGGAGGCGTACGAAGGAGCTGCCAGTGTATAAGAAGTGCTGGGATCTCAGATGAGAGAATCTGAACGTGTCTAAATCTGTCTCAAGGGCAGAGAAACAGAGCTCACTGTAATCTCCAAAGTTCACAATAACCCTATACCTCATCGTCCAAGTCGCAGTTCTTGGAAAACATGTGTCAGGGGAACCTGATGTGAAACCCATAAAAGTTTTCAACTTCCTCAAGGCAGCAGAAGCGCGTTCGACAGCTGGTGAGTTGGAGGTGGATGACGCGTGCGGTCTCTGACCTGCTGGCAGCTGAGAGCCTCGGCTGCCCGGCGCCCTCTGAGCGGGGGAGCTGGGCAGAGCCGGCGGGCCCGGCTGCGCAGTGCCTGCGTGAAGGCTGATGCACCAGAGCGCCGGGGAACCGCTGGCTCAAGGAGCCCAGCAGACCCTGCCTGCGCACCCCACGGCACTGCTCCCCAGCTCGGGAGCTGCCTCGCAGCTCGACACGTGGCACTGAAGCCGCAGCAGCTTTACATTGAGCCCCCTCTCTGATATCCATCGTGGCTCCCAGTAACAGAAAAACAGCTTTGCAAAAGTTTAGTCACAAGCATTTCGGCTAGCTAACGTGTAAATACAGGGCTCGAGCAGGTGAGGTTGTGGAAGGAGCTGGCACACCTTGGATGGCTTTGCTGCAGACTCCTCAGTTCCTCGGCAGTCCTGCCTTCCAGCAGCGAGGGGGTAGCGCCGCTTCCTGGAGTTCAGCAAAACGAGGAGAGCGCTAGTAGAAACACGTAAAGTGGAAAAAATAAAATGAGACCCTACACAAGAATAATTTTAACATGTGCCTTGCTTTTTGTTTGTCATCACTAGGGGTCCCGCTGGGTTCATTTTGGGTTTCTGCACCAAGCTGCACGCCTGGAGCAAAGCTTGGGTTTTCTGTGCATGCAGTCACAGAAGGGCTGGGAGGGCGTTCAGGACACCTCTGTCACAATGCAAACAAGTGCAAAGCTGAACCAAAAATTGTCCTCCCTTACCCTTTTTAACGTGCTTTGTTTGGTTAGCAGGGACTTAATCCTGCTCAGAACAACGCCCTGCCTAGCGGAGTATTTTCTTTTCTTTTTCTTCCTACTCGTGAGGGTGAAACTGGTACCCCTCCATCCTGTTGTGCTACGGAATGTGGCTGTCTGGTGGTGCAATCTCGGCAGGTTTTGCAGTGATCCATGAAGGATGTCCTGCCGTTTCAGAGTGCTCCTCTCTTGCTGTTCTTAGGCCATGAATGCAATGAGATCTCTCTTGAACGTTTGGGGCTTTTTTTGGATGAGCGCTCCAGATGTACCAGGCCTGGGGACAGGATGCATGTCCTTCAGCTCCCTTCCCTCTCCAAAAAGCGCTTGAGGTACCTTCTGGGTATTGAGCTATAGCAGGCGGCAGTGTTTGACACTGGCAGAAGTACAGAAGGGACTGGTGATGAATTATTGCTTCAAAGGCCAAGCACCAGTGACAGCTGGATGTCACTTCAGTCTGGGGGAGGGGAAATGGAGGAGGTGTGAGGCTTGTTTATACAGTTGTGTGTCATACTGGTTTGTCCCTGTCTCCTAAGGTTCCTTCCAAGAAGAGGAGCCTTTCCTCTAAATGGGTGGGACTAGTTCTGAGCCAGCCAGTTTCATTTGGCATGGTGAGGACACAGGGCTGACGGAAATCTCGGAAAGACCCAGAGGGGATGGAGAGGGACTCTCAGCCAAATGAAAAACAGCGAGCAAGCATTAAGGGCACTTTCGTAAAGAGCTGAGAATTGAGGAAGCAGAATATTCGCTTACAAGAGCAGATTACTGTAGCATGACAGTAGAACGCGTAAGCACTGCTACATATGGAGATCTCAAGAAAAGCCTAGAAAGGGCTTTTTGTTACTAAGATGACAATTTTTTTTTTTTCCTTTTTTTTACATGTCTGAACTGTGGTGGGGAGTTGCGATGAGAGCAGTGATTCGCAGAACGGTTCTGTGGTGTGTTGACCTTGGCTGGCTGGCACGTGCCCACCCAGCCGCCCTCCCACTCCCCCTCCTCAGCAGGACCTCTGCTCCGGCACCTGGAGCACCTCCTGCCCTCCCTTCTGCACCGACCTTGGGCTCTGCAGAGCTGTTCCACATGTTCTCTCACTCCTCTTACAGCTGTGGCTGTGCTGCAGCGGGTCTGTCTTGGAGCCAGCTCTGCCTGACATGGGGGCAGCTTCTGGTGTCTTCTCACAGAGGCCACCACTGCAGCCCCCCTGCTACCAGAGCCTTGCCACGCAAACCCAACGTGCACGTGCGTACTGCTGAGGGACAAAGTGTGACCTTCCCCCCGGGCAGCACTGCGGTAGAGCACAGCTTGTGCCGGGTGTCGCAGAATCACCGCAGCTTGGAGGGAGCTCAGGGGTGTGCGGGGTTTGGAGCTCCTCGGACGTCCTTGTCGGTGCTGGGGACAGCAGTGGAGAGAGGCAGGCTGTCTGCAGGGAGGAGGTGCCTGGCACAGCCGCAGCCCGTGGGCTTGCCAGGGTGCGTGGGCTCCCCCGAAAAGCTGCGCTGGTGCAAATATTGAGCTGGTCAGGGGCACCGAGGTGCGAGCGTCTCGTGTGCTGGGTGAATGTCTGAGAAGCTCATCAGGGATGGGTTGAGGCAGCGGGGGTTTCGCCAGCCGCGCTCTGTGGGGTCTGTACATGGGAGCCGAAGTCTCAGGTCCCTCCTGGGGCCTTTGTGGTGTTCCGAGGCGTTTCGCAGCAGAGCTGGTCTCGTGGATGCCAGGGTGTTACTCGTGGACACGGTACCTGGAAACCAGACCACGTGTCCGTGCCGGCGAGGGCCGTGGTGTCTGGCGGTTGCGGCTGTGAGAGACCCAGTCTGGCGGCTGCGGGGCCGTGGGTTTCATTCACAGAATCACAGAATGGTCGGGGTCGGCAGGGCCCTCCGGGGTCACCCAGCCCCACCCCCCCCCCCACC